ACTGAAGATTATAGTCAATGATTTCCAAGGTGTGAGTTGCAAGCTAACTGGAAATTAAAGCAAGAGTGGAGTAACAGGTCCCAGACTACCCACATTGAAAGTGAAATATTGCGAAAGTTGTGTGTGTGTTTGTACAGGGAGGACGTTAAGATTGGGAACTAGTTAAGAGAGGCACAGGAGTGTGTGGCTAGGATTCTGTGAGTTCTGAGGCATCTCCTTTTGGGATTTGCCACAGGGATGTTTCACTGCCACTGAGTCCCTACATAACATGTCTTCTCCAAAGCACAGATTACTTGTGAAGGAATACTTAGGATGAAAGCTGATTATCTCTCCTGACTCTTTGGGTGTGGGATCTTCCCAAACTCTTCTAATTTTTATTCAAGTTAGTAATATTGCGTAAGGACATAATGAAGTTTCAGAACCACACTGATACAGAGCATTTAACACCAGAAAGGATTTTATTGGGAAATAGAGAAATCCAAAAAAAAGAAAAGAAAAAACAATTTAGAAAAGAATCTAAAAGAAAAAGATAATTCTAACTTCTCCTCTGTCTCTAAAGTGATAGAAATTGACAAGAACGATATGGGGGGGGGGTATTCCCCACGGCTCCTGGGTGTTCAGCCTGCAGAAGCAGCAGGAGCTCCGCATGGAAGAGGAGAAGGAGGAGGTGGCCGCAGGTGAGCTCAGCAGGCAGGCCCACCCAGGCTTCTCCCCCCCACACACAGTGGCAATGGCAGTGAGCCCTGCATGGCTCCCAGCTGCCCAGCCCGCCAAGGCCTCCCCACCACCACAGCAGCAATGGCAGTGAGCCCTGTGTGGCTTCCAGCCTCAAGGCCTACCGAGGTTTCTTCCCCCCAACAGCTGCAGTGAGCCCTGTGCGGCTCCCAGCCTCCAACCTTCCTTGCAGCTGCCATTTTCTACCTCTGTCACAATTCCCAGCAGTGACTGCATTCTCTGTGCATGCACAGGGAATGCTCTTTTACTTTTGGGGAGATTTAAGTATCCCCCGTATAGTTTTTTCAACATTTCAGATTTTTCTGCACCCCTAGGGATTGTCCTAAGTGTGCAGGAAAATCTGTTTACCCTCCAGGTGCTCCCAATGTGCAGATTTAGATGTCCACACACAGAGGGGACCCTTGGCTATTAGATATATAGATTATCTGGCCATAAAATATGACATTATTGTATTAAAAATCAGTTTATCCATTTACATATGGATAAGGGACATAATCTCCCGCCAACCTAGCAGTTTGAAAGCAAGAAACTGCAAGTAGATAAATAGGTACCACTTTGGTGGGAAGGTAACGACATTCTGTGTGCCTCAGCGTTTAGTCGTGCCGGCCCCATGACCACGGAGAAGTCTTTGGACAGTGCTGGCTTTCAGCTTGGAAACAGAGATGAACACCACCCCCTAGAGTTGGATTCGACTGGCTTTCAAGCAAAGGAAACCTTTACCTTTACTTAAGGGACATAATAATAGTGTCTCCCTGTACAGATATCTATGATCTCCCTTCGGGGGGGGGCAGGGGGAACCCTACCCTATTCTGAAAGGATACTCCTGAGACAGAATTTTGCTGTAAGATTATTGATCATTCAAGATTAGCGTTTAGTGCTGCTTAGTTGCACAGTATGGTTTACACAGGTTATGTCTGGGTTCCCCACTGTATCTTTGTCAGAAGTGACATTCCCGTCAATTCTGGCACACGTGGTACCCAATTCAGATCATCTTTTGACTCAGCTGATAGGGAAGTTAAATCTGAAGACAGGCAGACCTGCCAGGTTCCATTATTTGTTACTGAAGGCAAATGGGTCAGAAGGGAGATAATTACCTACCAGAATATAAATGTTGTTTAATGATAGATGGACACAGCATCCCTTTGATTCCTCAGGCTAGCTGGAAGTGGGTTTGAAAAGACAGTGGATGTGAGAGAGGCTCCTTGGGAAACAGCTGTTGTTTCCTGGAGTGCGGCTAAACAGAATGCTTTTCTTGCAACCCTGGACCTAGTTTTAATTTGTAGATATAATTTTCACATATAACCTGCCTAAGGCTGATCCCCATTTTCAGATGAATAACATGCTAGAAACAATTTGGTAATTCTATGTCAAATTGCAGGTCTGGCATGCAGAAAACTCTTGACATGTACAGATGTTTGTTAGTTAGAAGGCAAAACCACAGCCCTTCTCTTCGATATTTTAGTTTTCCAGGAAGATTTCATGTAGGGTTGCATTCCAGAAGTGAATTCTCTTGCCTGTGATCTGAAATGGAACAATGTAGGAGGGATCGTAATGTGATTTCTGTTTTTGAATAAGTAGCCCAGCCCTGCCTTCAATACTTTTTTTTCCTGGGAATGGCCATGGGTTGGGTTGGCAGTTGTTTGGGGAGTCTGTGCCTCACAGGTGCATGTGGACTTGATTTGGATCAGGACCATGGTATGTGGGGAGGGGTGATTAAGCTCCCCCATGCCATTTTTTCTGACCTGAAATGGCATGGGGGGTGGCTCGGTTTACTGCATTGAGTGCTCCAAGAATACTGACAGGGTACATGTAGGTTTCCCCAGTGGGGCAAATAGTGATCCCTGGGGTTGTTAAAGGTCAGGAAAACAGCACAGGGGGAGCTTGAGCTCCTTCTCCCTGTACACTCTGGACCTGATTCAAATTATCCCTACTCATACCAGGGAGGCACAGATTCCAACCCAACTTAGGGACACCTAGGGAAAATGTAGTGTGGGTAGGTCCATTTAGATTTGCATGTTTTTGCACCCTTGTGCATGCACATTGTTCTACCCTCAGTTTTCAAATCTGGTTGCATTTGCAGTGTGCAATTCATCTTGTATTTTCTGTATATTTCTTTCTGATTTCCCAATCACATGTGATGATCTTTCTTCTACAGTATCTTTTCTCCCTTTCCTCTTCTGTTGAATACAGTGAACTGTGCCATACATTTTATTCTCTCCAGCCTTCTCAGGGTCAAAGTATTTATAAAGCTGGACAGATACTGTGATTTTTCAGAACTTTGGTAGGACAAGACTGACTTCCCCATACACACCCCATTTCTCCGTAACCTCATCATGTTTAAAAAGACAAATATTGTGTAGTTACAGTCAATGCTCCCTCTAAGCTGTGGAGTCTTGTGAGCAAAAGTTCTACTCTGTGAGCTACTGGCATTAAAGTTGTGAGCAAGCGATTTGGCTACTGCATCAATTAGCTTGCTCTGGAGCCATCCTTCCTGCGCTAAGACAAAAATGTGTGAGCCGGAGGCTAAAAAATGGCGATCTAGCTCACACTAACTCAGCTTAGAGGGAACACTGGTTACAGCAACAAAGCTACACCTAAGATGCTTGCACATTGCGTCCACTGTTGTAGCCTGTCAGCTGACTTGGATAACAAGAGGAGGATCCAATACATCCTAGAGCAATTGTTTGAGATACTCCATAAAATGCTGAAAGTTACGGTATTCATGAAAAATGTGAAATTTACATTACCAGAACCTACTGTGCATGTGTTGTGACTCTGAGTGACTCTTCTAATCTGCTAGCTATACCTTTCATTTTGTATTTTGTGTGTTTTAGAATGAAGTTATTAGTCAGCAACTGGCTGTCATATTCACTCATTGCTATGGACCCTACCCTATCCCAAAGCTTGTTGAAATCAAACGCAAGCAGACCTCTCGCTTAGGTAAGTGGGCAGTGAGTGGCAAGCTTCGTCTGGCATCATCTGCTGGGCTGGGTTCTTGTGCAACATCAATGCCACGGGGGCTGAGCCACTGGGAGAAACCAAGTTTAATAAAAATGACAATAACAACAACGTATGCACAACTGTTATTGAAATTTCTGAGACTCCAAGGTTATAAGGGACCATCAGAGTCTCCAGTCACATCTGAAATTTGCTTTATCTTGTAGATTTCTAACTCTTCAGGGTGCTAATCATGTTGCATGAAACCCAGGGACAGACAAAGAGTGTGTCCTTTCTGTCTTTGCCCCTGCAGCTCACCAAGGGTAGCCTCTTCATTATGCCTCCATGTATCAAGTATAAATGGTGAGATCACATAAGAAAGGCACATCTGGTAGTTGCTGTGCAGTTCTGGGGCCTCTGCTCTTTTGGAAGCCAACAGAATTTGTGGCAGAAAAACATGCATTCTCATCTAAATTTTACCATCCAGGCTTAGAGTTTTCCACAAAAATCAAAGGTTTTGAAATGACCAATAGTTGAAATTTGAGAGATGCAGATTGCTAAATTTTCAGTTTGTTTACAGGATTTGTTTTGACAGGAATGAACTGACTACATTAATGCCAGGCAACCTTGCAATGCTAATGATGTCATTTGCATTCAGAACTGAAATATATGTGGCCTTGGTTTTGAACATCCATTTATAGCACCATCCTGAGTAGAGTTATACCCTCTCAAACCCACTGGACTTAGAAGGTTGCAGATGTGCACAGCAGTGTATTGTTCGTGTGCAGACAGCTGAGTGGGTTTTGTAACTACTTCAAAGGAGCTACCCCTGTTCCTCCAAGGAGTTTAGAGCCGCATATGCCGTTCTCATCTCCTCTATTTTAGCCTCACAACAGCCCAGTGAGGTAGTTTATGATGAGAGAGAGTGACTTGCTTGAATTCACTTACAGAGCCATAAGCAGAGTTGCACCCTTCTAGGCTTAGAAGGGTGTCATTCTGTTTACGATTATCCTCTTAGTGAGATTCATGGCTTGAGTGGGGATTTGAATCCAGGTCACCTTGGCGCCGATCTGACACCCTAACTACTAAACCTGTCTGGTTCTCTGTGTATGTGAGTTATAGTGGAAAGAATTATCAAAAACTAATCCTCGGTTATTCAAGATGGCAAAATCCTTAAGCAGTCACTGAAGGCTTTCTCCAGGCTGAGTGAATGGCCAACAAAATAGCAGATGTTTCAGTGTCAATAAATGCAAAATTATTCACATTTGGGCAGCCTACTCACTGCTTCATATATACACTTAATGGACTATGAATGGTTGAGACTATATAACAAAAAAAGAAGCTGGTGTTGGGTAGGTCCCTGAAAACACCTAGTCAGTGGGCAATGACAGTGGCAAAGGCTGACAGTGTTGGAAATTATTGAAAAGGGGCAGAAAATAATATGGCCGATAGTGTGAGGCCTTATAGAAATGTATGGCATGGCCACACCTGGAATACTGAAGCACCTTTCATATCAGAAACGGCTAAAGGATTTCACGCTGCTCGAGCCTTTTTTTGTAAGACAACTAAAGTAGGACACCATAAAGGTCTGTGAAATTATAATGGTGTGGAGGGGAGAGTAGGGGGAGGGAGAGAGAGAGAGATTTTGCCTTTTACTTATAATGTCAAGACTTGGGATCCCACAATGAATTGATTAGCAATACGTTTAGAGGAGACAAAAGGAAAATAATATTTGGGAAGAAGTCATAGCGCAGTCCTCGAGCACACATTTGGCATGCATAAGGTCCTAAGTTCAGTCCTTGATTTCTCCAACTAAAAGGAGAGGAGAATTTGAAAAGACCTTTTCTGAGACCCTGCCGTGCCACTGCGTGTTGGAGCAGAAACTGCTGGGGTAGATGAAACAGTGGCAGCTTCGTATATTCATGTGTGTCCAAATTATGGGTAATGGGTTAGTTATGGAATTCACTGTGAAGGGATAGCTGGCCATTACCTTGGGAAAGGGCAAGACTGGTTAATGGATGATAGCAATGAAAATGGGGTTAGCCTAACCTGTGTTGAGTGGCAAAGTGCCTTTGAATACAGTAGCAGAGAGCTGTTGCCTTCATGTTCTGCTTGGGTGGCTTCTTCTTGGAAGCACCTGTCTGGCCACTGTCGCAAACAGGATGCTGGTCTAATTAGACTCTTGGTCTGAAACAGCAGGGCTGGATGTGAATCTGTAGATGTGGTAAGGAAACATTAGATGTACCAACTGCAGATTTTCATATGCTACCAAAACTTTGTCCCTTACTTGGAGCTTGTCGGGGAGCGCCTAATGCTGTAAAGCGAAGCGACAGGGCGCCTGATCCATAGCCTGAATTGGAGGCCAGTAGGAGCTTTATAGCCTGAATTGGAGGCCAGTAGGAGCTTTATGTAAATTGCTCTGAGAGAGCAATACTAATAATGTTAGTGGAACTTCCACATGTGTGGGTTTACAATCTTGGAATCGAGTAGAAAACGTCCCTTTATCAAATTGCATACCAGTTATCTGTGATGCTTCTGAGGCAGGGGAGTAGCTGGGACATTTAGGAGAGGATGGACCCATTCCTTGTTTCTGCAGCTGCTGTAGAAACATTGTCCTAAGAAATTATGATGATACTCCCTCTAAGCTATGGAGTCTTGTGAGCAAAAATTCTATTTTGTGAGTCACTGGCATTAAAGTTGTGAGCGAGCGATTTGGCTACTGCATAAATTAGTTTGCTCTGGAGCCATCCTTCCTGAGCTAAGACAAAAATGTGTGAACTGGAGGCTAAAAAACTGTGAGCTAGCTCACACTAACTCATCTTAGAGGGAACACTTACAGCTACCTCTTTCCACTTTTTATCACTTTGTATTTGTGGACCTGAGACAACCTGGGAAACATAAAAACAAAAACTTTAACTATCAGAGCTAACAGAAAATGTTAGTTTGCATTTTTCACCCTCTGCTCTCATTACCATCAGTGGATTGGCTACAGATGAGGTCCCTTGTTTTCTATTTTGGGTCTTTTTCTCAATTACGGCACTGCTTGGTTGGCAAAGCAGAGCCAATTAAAGCAATTGTCCATGTTAATGTAGGCACAAGTGGGCCAGGATTCTATTTATCTTGGATGTTACATCACATTTTAAGCTCATTTCTTCTGC